GTTCAATGAGGAAACCAGTTTGACAATTAAAAGTTTTAATCCTTCAAATTAAACTAATGATTTTGAAATTGACAAACAGGAAATAACAATCAACATTGGCAACTTGTGGGACAATCTTTAACAGTTGATATGATCAAATAGACCTTGTGGTGAATTTATGAAGATTGAGAATGTTGTGATATGAATGCGCGTGTGAGTCTGATTTTGCTTCAGGAAGAACAGGTGTCTGAGTGAAGTGATGGTTTGAATAAACTTAGGTCTTATCAGAGAACTGCATCAAACGCTAAACACCATGCTCTGTCTCACCGAACTCTTGTGGACCCTCTTTCGGATCCGGGCCGTGGAGGATGGTGGTGGTTCATCCAGATGACACCAACGGCTGACAGGAGAGACGTAGGTGTCGAACGGAACCGGTCCAGAGTTGCCCTCGGTACACGTTGATGGTAGAGCGTTTTGTCGATGCGCTTTCTTAAGTTAAGTTCACTCAGAAATCAAAAGACTCGGTAATGAGTCTGCATTAGAAGTTGCGATTCAGCTATTCTGTCTGGCTGACAGGAACAGCGTGAGAGGGGGGAGAAACGAGCCAACCGGCTCTGCCCCCCCTTTGGTTTTCAGGTCCTCTCTCTTTCGTTGTCCAACACGAACTGAAATCATAAGACTGAAACTTACCAAAAGCCTTTCTCCTCTCAAAGCAAAATGTGTGCGTCAGCAAATGTGTTTTGGAGTTTACTGTGAGCAGATGTGCGTGGGCGTGTTTGGGTATGTGAAGAAGCAGGAGTGTGAAGGTCGTTACCAAACATTCTCAACATTAACATTTAATTAAGAATGGATTAATTAAATCTCTTATAATTACCCAAAGCATAATAGTCATTCATTTGATTAAAACACATTTATAATGAGCAAATTGATGATTAAACTTTTAACATTCAAAACAAGAAAAGGAAGTTTAAACTTTATGTTTTGACTTGTTCTGGGTACAACTCATGGAAACACGTCTTCTGGACGCTGCAGTTGGCTGATGTTATGGCTGCTTCCAGACTCTCGCAGACTTCATGTCTGCAAAGGTCCCAATCTGTGTGTTAAAGTTCTCAGCGACCCAGCTTTGACCCAGCTGAGTCCAACACCACCTTTGTGACAGAAAACCCATATTCCTCACGTTACATTCTCCCCTTTTGTGACGACATGGTGGTCAAGCAGAGGCCACCTGACGTCACAACCTCAATAACGTGATGTATTCATGAAGGTAGACATCCCAGATGAAGGCAGGAACGATGAAGCGTCTCCACAGGTCTCGTGTAGAAGGGAGTATATCCTGATCAGATGATTAAGGCCAAAACCGTTGCAATCATTGTAAAGTAATCCACTTAGGAAATCTTGAAAGCAGAGCTATTTCAATAGCAGTTAATTTCATCAGCAATAATGCAAAGGTATTCAAAGGATAAGCAGCTAGTGTGTCACACGGAGCTGGGCAGGTGATGTATTCCTCAGGCGTAATCCCAGTGAAGTCCAGCGCAGACCTCGACCCATCTCGAACCACGACCGAAGCCCCATGCGACAGGAAACCAGCTGAAGGATGGTGAAGACGACCCCTCTGATGGGATGTAGTCCATACGAGCTCGGAGAAGGAGACAAAGTGAGACAGCCCACACGATAGATAGCATTTGATGCAAATCAAAGAAATCAATCAAAACCTATCTATGGGTGCCTCTGGGAAAATGTGGATGCCTTTTGTGAATTATCTAAAGAAGAAATGTTCTGCACCCTGTTCTACATGTCATGTAAAAACGTTATGCAGAGAAAAACACAAATAAAAGAAAGTAAATCCTAACTGATATGTGAAACTCAGCAGGCTGCACTAAGTAAAGGCATATAGATAAAAGAAATAATCATGAAAATGAAGGGCAAATTGGCTTAAGGGAAATAGTAACAAAATAAAATTAAATTTGTAATCAAATATAATCATGCTACACAAAGCACTAATAAAAAGATAGAGATGTAAATCAATTCTAAAATGTAAATCAGCAGGTTAGTAATCCCTAAAAATGTGAGTTAGTAGCAGGTGTCCTGGCTGGAGGCAGGCAACCTGAAAAAACAATTCAAAGGATATCACATTTGTTAAAAATTTATCCCACAAACGAGAGAATTTGTAACGGTCCACCAGTTAGTTGAAAAGAATCCGGTCAGAATAGAGTTGGTCAGAATAGAGTTGTTCAGTAAGCGTTTTGAATCTGGTATTGCGGACCCACAGAGACACGAGTTTGGACGGATCTGTGGGAGCAGGCTCATAAGCGATTTGGTTATCAAATTGTTTGTATCTTGTGTTACAAACCCACAGGGAAACTTGTTTGAATTTACCTGAGGGTTCCGACCGGAACTCGAGTGAAGCTGATGGTATAATTGTTAGATCAGAACCTGATTTTACCTGCTCAAAGTTGGGTTGCAGCTTTACGGAGGCGACTTTGTTGTGATCAGAAATAGTAGTGAACTGGAAATGCGAAAATGATGCTCGCAAAGCAGGAGGAGGCTCCCCACCCCCCTTTTGTCTCTCAAACTTATGCCGTGTCTGTGAGACAGGAGAAGCATAACAAAGAACAGTTCTTAAGCTCTTAAAAGCCCTATTACCAAGAAGATGCACAGCGTCACCTGAATCGTGCTGAAAGAGTAGGTGTTCAGATGTCCAAAGACCTGGAGGTGTTGGACTTTGAGGTTCTGAAAAGGAGTGATCCAAGGATGGTTGTGTCACAGGTGTCAAAGCAAACCTAGCCATGTTTAGAATCAGATACAGACATGACACTATCGAAAGGAACATGTTCTGCCCTGAAAACTGAAGCCAAGAATACTTTATTCCCAAGAATGATGGAGGTTCCCACACAGAATCAGAAAAACCGGGTTTAACCAGAGTAGTTACAGACTGACTAGAACTCCGCCCCGTAGAAGGTGCAGCACCTAACTCCGGGTCGGAGGTCAATGTTGTCAGCTGAATTGGTGGAAGGTCAGTGTTGATTCCTGCAATGACCCGCCCGCTCGGAGGAGGCCTGCCCCCGAACAGGTTGAAGTCCGCAACGGAAAACTCAGTGCCACTCGGCACTCCCCTTTTGTCAGGCGGGGCCCCAAGCAGGGCATCACTGCACGCACCTACTGCTCCCGGGCCGGGTGGCGCCCCCGGGCCCATGAGAGAGATGCCCGCAGCAACCACCGGAGCGCCCTCAATATCGCCACTGACCACTTGACTACCGGAAACCGCAGGTTTTACTGCTCCGTCGTGGTCACCTGAAAGAGAAATCACAGGAAATAGAACACAGAGGCCAGAGACAGAGTCACACCCCTGTGAAAGGAGAAAAGAATTGGCCACCGTATTAGCAGTGGTCACAAACTGAAAAGTGACAAGGTCAATCACATAAAGGTCAAGATGTCCGGGCACAAACCCTGTAAATGGTAAGGTGGCTCTGTCCGGAGACCACAAGTATTTCACGGCGGCTGACGTTTCCATCACGCCCCAATAAAGAAGCTGGCTTGTGCATGATGTGGACTGACGATTAAAGCAGACCCCTGACTGAAGCGGTGGATCACAGCCTGAAGATTTCACACCCATGCTGGAGAGATGGTCAGCCTTTAACATGGATGACAGAGAAAAAGCATCAGGAACCAAAGGGTTTAGCAGAACCTGTTTGTCAGAGAGGTTAACCATAGGCTCAAGAGATTTATTCAGCTTAAAAGTAGCAGAGAAAGTGTTGTTTATTTCAAACCTTGATATCGATGGTGGGTCTATGACCCCCTGGAAGAAATAAAGGTAAAGAAAAAGCATTATGACTGTAAACAGCATGTTGCTTGAATTCACATCATGAAGTGCAAACCAGAACCACCTCCGACACAGAGCAGCTGGCACCGAACCGCTGCAACTAGTCCCCACTGTGCCCGACCGGCGGCACCTGACTAATGCGGGCCCGTTCGGGCGGGCGGCGGGACCAACGCGGCCCGGCCGGTAAACAGTCTCCTGCGTCTTGGCATGTTCTGGAAGCAGAACGTCAGAGAACCTTACACCAGGTGTAACAGTGCAAGAAAGATTTTGTCGTGTCTCGTCCATCTCTCATTAAACAGAGCAACTCACGTTTTTACCTCCTGAGTCGACATATGAGCCCGGTACAGATCCTTAATTCATCTCACAATCAAGGACCACCCGTTGCACAACTTAACTTTATGACACAGGGTAAAACAAGGAGCTGTTGATAGAGAAAGGAATGTACACAACTTCACAAGATGGAAGAAAAAGGCATGGATCCGAGCAACGGAGGCTGTGAAAGCCGACCCGTACAGCGGTCCAAAATAAAAAAATAAATAAAACCTACGCTGCCGTGTTGGTATCAGGCGGACAAACGTAGCAAAATGTAGATTCTACACACCGTAGTGATTTACAAGAACCACCGCCAATGCGGGTTTTGTGAGGACACACACTTACTGTGTCAGAAATGGTTTGACAATTTAATGGGACGCGTTCCCTTTTTGTCCAACTGTGGCTCGCTAGCTTAGCTCTCCGGCTAGGTCTAGCTTTTCGTCTGTAGCGACCAGACTTAAATTTGCCCGATTAACCAGCAGGCATCTCGCTCCGCGGCTAAAACGGACTTTAAAGCGTACGCAATCTGGATGCAGTAACGCGCTACGGTAATAACCCGACTTACAGTGTTTACCTAGCAAGTTAAGCTACGGTAGGTGCCAACGAGCATTCCGGTTAGATTCGGCTTCGATCAGTCGCCTATGTAATGGAAATATCTTCCACAACAGCTCGCCCACAGTGTCAACACACTGAGACGAAGGGTGTCCGAGAATTCGGAGAATTTAGTCTTAATTTTAGGATTGAGGATAAGCTGCTCACGGTAGCTCACCCAGCAAGTTTCAGAGCGGAAATGTAGCTTTCCGACCTGAAGAGATTGGAGGCGCGGCGGCGCGTCAAAATGGGCAGAATTTAGTCAAAAGCACAACTCACACGATCGCTCCAAAGGCGAAGATGGGATAAATCAAAGTACTGTCTGTAATTTGCGGACAATTTGAGATTGGAGATCTTCCACCGTCAAGTTTCCACCAGGACGTCTCCCGGAAGACTGACTTCAGCGGAATAATTTCCGGTTTTTTTCAAAATAAGACATCAAAGTGAAACACAGAGAAAAGGCGTAATGTAGCTTTTAGATGTTCGGAATCAGATATATCGCAGATATAGAAGTCTGGATACGCTCGCCATATTGTAAGGAAAATTGGCTGGCTCAGCCATATTGTAAGGAGAAACTGTCTTTACTCAGTTATATTGTAGCGTTGTGGTTTTATGCTCTTTTATGAAAGAGGAACCATGCTACGTATTAATTCGGAATATTAATTTTTAATAAATCAATAATCAAATTTTATATTGTTAAGAAGACTCAAAGGTTGTTTTCATCGATAAACTGACGATAATATCTGTGTGTCTGTGTTTCAGTTCAATGAGGAAACCAGTTTGACAATTAAAAGTTTTAATTCTTCAAATTAAACTAATGATTTTGAAATTGACAAAAAGGAAATAACAATCAACATTGGCAACTTGTGGGACAATCTTTAACAGTTGATATGATCAAATAGACCTTGTGGTGAATTTATGAAGATTGAGAATGTTGTGATATGAATGCGCGTGTGAGTCTGATTTTGCTTCAGGAAGAACAGGTGTCTGAGTGAAGTGATGGTTTGGATAAACTTAGGTCTTATCAGAGAACTGCATCAAACGCTAAACACCGTGCTCTGTCTCACCGAACTCTTGTGGATCCTCTTTCGGATCCGGGCCGTGGAGGATGGTGGTGGTTCATCCAGATGACACCAACGGCTGACAGGAGAGACGTAGGTGTCGAACGGAACCGGTCCAGAGTTGCCCTCGGTACACGTTGATGGTAGAGTGTTTTGTCGATGCGCTTTCTTAAGTTAATTCACTCAGAAATCAAAAGACTCGGTAATGAGTCTGCGTTAGAAGTTGCGATTCAGCTATTCTGTCTGGCTGACAGGAACAGCGTGAGAGGGGAGAGAAACGAGCCAACCGGCTCTGCCCCCCCTTTGGTTTTCAGGTCCTCTCTCTTTCGTTGTCCAACACGAACTGAAATCATAAGACTGAAACTTACCAAAAGCCTTTCTCCTCTCAAAGCAAAATGTGTGCGTCAGCAAATGTGTTTTGGAGTTTACTGTGAGCAGATGTGCGTGGGCGTGTTTGGGTGTGTGAAGAAGCAGGAGTGTGAAGGTCGTTACCAAACATTCTCAACATTAACATTTAATTAAGAATGGATTAATTAAATCTCTTATAATTACCCAAAGCATGATAGCCATTCATTTGATTAAAACACATTTATAATGAGCAAATTGATGATTAAACTTTTAACATTCAAAACAAGAAAAGGAAGTTTAAACTTTATGTTTTGACTTGTTCTGGGTACAACTCATGGAAACACGTCTTCTGGACGCTGCAGGTGGCTGATGTTATGGCTACTTCCAGACTCTCGCAGACTTCATGTCTGCAAAGGTCCCAATCTGTGTGTTAAAGTTCTCAGCGACCCAGCTTTGACCCAGCTGAGTCCAACACCACCTTTGTGACAGAAAACCCATATTACACGTTACACGTTTCTCTACGGAGAAGGGGGCTCCCACCTGTCCCAAGGGGACATTCGCAGCGGGATATGCACTCGATTCTTGGGAGGTCTGGCGAATCGTGTGCCTCTCTCAGTTGTCCATCGAGGACGTGGAAGATTTGTGGATATTCGGCCTGATGATCACTGGATTTCTTCTGATTGGAGTGGGAGGATATCTGGTTTTCTGAAAATTCGGGAAGACGGGAGCGATTGGAGTGCGACCCGCACCCATGGAATGTGCCGCCCGTGCGGTGACCTCACAGACTGGGACGTTACTCGAGGTGAACCGTAAGCTGGACAATGTCCTCGCGGCGTTGCCTGTGTTAGTGCGCAAGATGGATGTCATCTCGGAGAGGGTCGCCGGACGGTGTGGGGATGTTTAGAACATAAAATTGGCTTCACTGGTGGACATGAATGACCACTTATAGACTCCAAGGCAGAGAGGAAAATTATCTCTGCCTGCCCTAAACAAAGTCTTGTTTATCCTTATCTGACGCCAAGGCAGCCTCCAAGGCTGCCATCAACACACTCCCACGAAAGGAGGAATGCTGACAGATGCTGTGTCCCGACCTTCCCCCCTGCCTTCAGATTGTGACTTCTGCTTCGAGGTCAGCAACCTGCAGGAAACTCAGTGCGCTCTCTGTCCCTCATTTCTCCCTCCCACCTGTTTGTCTGCAGCTGGCTGAGCGCCGTAATGGCAGCTCCCGTTGGAGGATTCAGGATCCCGCCCAACCCCGCCTCCCCATCGGACTCTGATGTTTTGTATCTGTGATGGTCGTGCTTCTATGTTGAGGAGTTTTTTTGTATAATAGAGTTACTCCCCGCTGGGTCTAACTCTGCTATGCCTTTTTTTTTTACCTTGCCCCAATTATCCTCATGTAACACCCTTTTCATCTAATGAAATGAGCGCTGTTATGGCTGCTCTCGTGACTGCCTGTACCTGTTTTTGTCTACATGTGTGTGTGTTTAACCTTGGTCAGGTTGTGTTCGCGGAGTCAAGTTCCTATGCTCTGGGTCGGTGGAGCGCTGGCAATAAAGCTTATTCTGATTCTGACTCTGATTCTCTAAGTGATAGGTGAATTTTGTTTTTTAAACATATTTTTTACTTTATTTAAGATTGGTATGCTGAAAATCATTTAATGTTTTGCATAAAGCATGAGGTTTTGGTTAGTAATTGATTGGAAGAATAACAAATGACTGAATTAAATAGTGGGGCGCCTCTGTCAGTGCGCCCCAGGGCAGCTGTGGCTACATTGTAGCTTATCACCATCAGTGTGTGAATGTGTGTGTGAATGGATGAATGACGCACTGTAGTGTAAAGCGCTTTGGAGTCCTTACTCTGAGAGGCGCTATACAAGTGCGGATCATTTATCATTTATAGTGCTGATCAGGCAGAGCTTTGTCACCAGCGTTCCACTGCACAATGGCTTCAAACACGTATATAAATGTTAGTTTATACATAAACCATTGGATGAAATTACACAAACTGACTGAGCTCTAGTTAAGGCGCTTGCAATAGTTTGTGTATGTGTGCGTGCGTGTGTACGTGTGTGTGTATGTGTATGTGTACGTGTGTGTGTGTGTGTGTGTGCGTGCATGTGTTTGGGGGAGGGTACATTGGAACTTTGTCCCCCCCAGTTTGAAAATCCTATCTGCGCCCCTGGTATCAATCACTCAGTAGGGGAGCAGATTTCATATGATGACATTATTGATGAATTTGCATCAAGGTTAGGTTTTAATTTTAGTTTGTGTTTTCTGTTCTAAGTGCAATGCTGTAGTGATTATCTTTAGTTTGCTATGTGTGAAACATTTTTGCTACTTAGAATATTTATTATATATTATGTTCATATATTCTTAATATTTAGTTATTGTTTGTTTTTGTATATTTGATTCTATATATTTCGATACAGTATATAATGTATAGTGCTTTACATTCTGACAACTTCATTAGTAATTAATGTAAATATGTGCAACTTAGAAAAATGAATGTTCAATAGTCGTTCTAATAAAACATGCCTGTTTGTAGAAAACATGCGTGTGTTTGTGCAGGTGGGGTGGTGGTGGTGGTGGTGGTGTGTGTGGGGGGGGGGTGCTCAAAGGGGGCCTCACCCGGGGAGTAATTCCATGTAGAACCGCCACTGACTACAATGAAAGTGACTTGAGTGAGCAGAAGATGGGTTTCAAAAGCAAGGATAAGGTCAGGCTGAAGCTCACTGCAGTACCGTCAGTACACAGCAGAGGCAGTCAACAGCGAGAGGGACAACAAGGAGGTGAGACCGCTATGGCTACTCCTGGGAACAGCTGCAGCAGATTCAAGACTCCACAAAAAACTGCAGCTCGGAAACTTGAAGTTTGTTTGGCAATCACTTTTATATTTACACATTTACTTCTGATATTTTGTAGTAATATAGAAGTCTGATTTTACAACAATTTTAATTCAAAATCTCTCTTCAGAGGAGAAGCTCATCAGCATCTGGGTGAGCTGCTAGCTGCAGCGAAGGGCAAATGTTTGTGTAGCATGTAAATATACGGAGCTAGATATTTTTATGTTGCTACGGTTGGTCATTATTTCTAAGCTAGAAAAATTAAAAACTGCTATATAATGTACACTGACATGTTCAGATTTAGAAAATAACGCTTTTGTACTTGTTTTATAGATGATAGCATTTGTCTCACAGATGGAAGCTGAGCTCATTCCTGATGCTGCTGATGCACATGATGATGTGAGAGAAGACAGTCTGTCTGCAGATCACCACCAGGTGACCTCGATCAACTCATTTGTCACCGATCATCAGGTAAATTTTAACCATCATAACACCAAATAGGCTAGCAGACCATGCATGAACGAAGGAGCTGAACCAATCATCCTGTTTGTTTAACATTGTACCAATCTAGATTTTAATCTTATTTATTTATGCACGTATACGTATTGTGTGTCATGACAATGAGATAAGAAGTGCTTTCGTTGTGTTTTCCTGCAAAATAAAGAAATAAGTTCATAAAAAATGTTTCTATTATTAAAAGAAGACCTTTGATTTTCGCAGAAATCCAGCTAATCTTTTGTGGTTTCCGGTCTTTCAGCTAAACGGCTGAGCTGTTTGATGGTCATTCATCCTTCTCCTTTATATATAAAAACCCACTAAGCTACAGAAAAGTAACAATCTGTCACAGACCGCTCCAGTTTCTGTCTCACTATTTACTCTGTAGCTCCATGACATTTGTGGAAGCAGTCCATAGTGAACCATCTGTACAGGACCACTGCATCCACACCTGATGACTCATGTCCATGTACATGAGACACATACATTTCCAGTTTGTCTCCATGCTCCACTGGAAGGACAAGCAGTGGCTAGTTCCAGGTAATTATTGGAAGTCTCCTGAGTGTTTGAACTACAATATAATGTTCCTGGAAGTAAATTTAATGTGTAGTTTATTTAAATGTGTCTTGTTTGTCTACAGGATCAACTTCAGCAGTCAAGTTGGAGAAAGCAGCACTCCAGCCAGGATTTGTGAAGGATGTGAGGTAGCTGTCCCCTCAGCACCAAACGTATTCACTAGAGGCGTTCCACTCACTCATTTGCTCCTCAGCATACAGGTTCTCATTCCTTGGCATGTACCCCAGGCAAATTTTATTCAGCTGGAATTTCATTTTGTTATATATTATTCAAAGGTGTTGTATTGTGAGCCATTGCTTAATCAATTAAATGTATTTGTATTCTTCTGTTTCAAACTGTGTCTAAATATGTTAAAATATTTCAGACTGTTGCCGTCAGCCCTTCATTACAACAGCAACGATAACGGGGAAATGGCCAGAATCAAGAAGGGTACACTGTGCGTTACCCTCGTTTGAAGAAAGGTGGCTGGTCCGTGCACCCTGTGAAAGTGGAACCAACATATGGTTAATTATTTCATATATGCATATATAAATGTGTGTGGATGCATCATTTTACATGCATGTTCATCATATTTAAAAGTCTACAATTACAGACTATGGCTGTGTCTCAATTCAGGGTCTGCATCCTTCGAAGGACGCAGCCCACCCGGCCGACGTGGGCTGCGTCCTCCGTCGGCCGGGTAGACCGGATGTTAACGGCTGTGAATTTGGACAGGCCTAGCCTTCATGAACTCCCTCGGCGAACGTTCCGTCGCCTAGCAACCGTGGAACCGCTGGGCAGAAGGGAGAAGGAACTTTAAACGATGGAGCTTGACGTTTTATTTAGCTTTTTAACCCCCAGAAACCCAAATTTAGAAAACAACTGCAAAATCTTTTTTTAACCTTTCACATGTTGTTCTAGGAGGCCAGATAAACGGGCCTATTTACACATTTTAACAGCCAATAGTGTTGCAGAACTGAACAATAGGACCTATTAGCAATGTAAATGTGGTTTTAAAAAGAAAAAAAATGGGGAAGGTTTATTTTTGTGGACTTAAATCTGATGTTGTAATACTACAACCATGGGTCTCTGGGGGTTAATCATTTCTTGACAGTTGGAGAGCTAATTCAGAGAAAATACTTTAGACAAGCTGAGCCTGAGCAAAGATGTGATAATAGTTTTTAATACTTTCTAAGGGTCTTAATTTGACCAAAACTGATTTATCACCCTTTAAGACTTTTCAAGACCCAGCGGATACCCTCTAGTAAACAATTCTCGTTTGTAAACAAAAATAAAATTCAACAGTTTAATGCAGATCTGATTTTATTTAGATATTTCTTTTATATGTACATGTTTAATCTTCCTTAACCATTTTTTTCTAGCAAAGTAAAAAGCTGTCAAAGTTCTCCCTTCTCTCCTGTGCCCTCTGCAGCCTCATGTCCTCCCTGATCAGATCCAGAAGCTGGTCATCGCTGGCACCTTCCCCTGGATGCCCATTTTCTCCAGAATAGTCTTAACAAACATGTAAGAAAAAGAAACAGGAAGAGAAAAGAGGACAACGGGTTATTCCTTTCATGTTTTCGCAGAAAAAAATAAACTCAAACAAGTTTTTTAAAATATGAGATGTTATTGTACCTCCATGCCACAGCCGCCGAATACTTTGCTACGGTGATCATGTGGTCCATCTCCGCCCTAAGCTTAATAAAGTCCCTGGTTTTCTCTTTTGTCCCTAAAATACAAACTCCTATTAAAATCAGGGGGAAAACGTAGCGGGAGAAGTACGACACCGAGCGCGGCCGAACATACGCGCCGAGACCGCAATACAAGCACTTTTACTGTAACATTTCTAACTAAAATAACGTTCATGTATCACAAAAAGCCCTTAACCTAACAGTTTTCAAGTTTATACTGACATTTATATGCGCAATCCTCTCCGACAGCTCCCGCTTCACTGTCCGCCATTGTTTTTAAGTTTTTCTGCCGGCCGGCCCGCAAGGCATCTTGGGAAATGCTACCTATTGAAGGATACACCGGACCCATCCTTCATTCAGGCGAAAAGAAGGCCGCATTCGTTGACCGCATTTGAAGGAGTCTTCGAATTGGGACAGGCCTAGTCGCGGCGCTGTGACGTAACCGGCCGACGAATCCGGCCGACGTAGGATGCAGACCCTGAATTGAGACACAGCCTATGTCATGGTCTGAGGTGAGCTCATCCTCTAGTCAGCTTCAGCATTCATTCCAGGTGAGTGGTGTCTGAATGGGACCAGCTGTAGCAGATCCATCATCAGCCACTGCTGGCTTAAAAGGAGGAGGAAGACCACTAATCAACGCCGGCTGATTACTCCACATGGGTAAATCCAGTAGGAATCTCCCCTGCAACTCAGTCGCTAGGAAACTCTAGTCTAGTTATATTTTTGATTCCTCTACATGACGTTGCTCCTTGTTTTTACCAGATCCTGCTCAACTACACCCCTTCAGACAAGCTCTTGGACCTCTCTTCAGCCTGCATCTTCCTTCCCTCAGTCCCGTTCACCACCGCTCATCCCCCCCGGAACCCTATCTTGACCCCACTGGACAATTGGATCCTGCCACCTCAGACCTAACAGACCTCCCCATGAGCCATCTCCCCAGCAGCACCGTAAAGCCTCTACTACTCCTCCACCTTCAAACCACCAGTCCTCCTACTAAGCCAGACTCTACTTGCAGGTCCAGTTCTGCCCCTCTTCACTGCATTTCCCAGTTTGGGACGCCCTTAGTTGTGCACCGTTTAAATAAAACCTTTGTTTAATTTTACATTTGTCTTGTGTTGATTCTGCATGTCTTGGGTTGAGCACTTAAACCCCAACATGACAGACTATGCCACAGCATTTCTCAGCCAGTTGCAGGATGCCTACGCCAACAACCCAACATGACTAAGCAGTGAAATATCTGGAATATAATCAGCTGATCCTGGACCACTGATAACCATGTGTGACTGAGTGGACAAGAATGAAGCCATCGAACAGTATGTTAAATAATCATTAACTCTCTGGAGGCAGGCACTGCAGATTTGCAACAGTTAAAACCTACCTACCTGGTTATGCCACTACATATTTCATGAGCATTTTTTTTTTATCTCAGAAGTACCCCTAAAAGGCTTAGTTGTTCGGCCTTTTATCAAAACTTATTTTGAGCCTGAGAGGGTTAAAAACCAAGCAACAGGTTATTTCACAATTTTAATATTTTTCAGTTCATTCAAACTTCTCTTCTGGTTCTTGGAGGGTGCAGATGCTTCTTTTCCTCCTCTCCTCCATATCTTATCCTCAAGGCCTTTGTCTGTCTCTGGGTGCTGGGTGCACGGCTGCTTCTGCATTTTTCTGGAAACTGAAATACATTTAAATGGATCTCGTTAGCTGGTCTCTCAACGCGATTGATAACGTTTTTTCAATGACGAGAACGGGAGAAGGGGCTCCCCGGATGCTCTGCCGATACAGACCCAGTTGGATACATCTTGGACTCGTGGAAACAGTGGAATTGATTTGTTTAACTCAGCTGTCTGTGGAGGGCTCTGAAGATGTGTGGATATTGGTGGTGTTGGTGTCAGGTTTCCTGCTCATTGGCCTTGGAGGCTACCTGGCTTACCGGAAAATTAACGAGCTGTCGAGGAATATTGGCCTGATCCCGGAGCTCAGAGATGGTTTGCACCGCGCTGTGAATTCACAGACTCAAATTATTGTCGAGATGAATCGTAAGCTTGGGACTTTGGTGGAGATTCATGCTTTGGCACAAAAGATGGATGCCATTAAGGAGAGAGTGGACGAATCAGCATGGATTGGGATAGATTAACGTCCATTACTATTGGGATTCGGAGAGGTGAGGACCAGCAGACTGTAAGACAGAGAGGACATTATCTCTGTCTGGCCCTTTTTTTGCAGAGCAAAGCTGCTTTCCTGCTGGAGAGTAGCTCTGAAGTGCCTCTTTTTTCCCTCCACCTCAACCAATCCTCATGTTACCCTCTTATCTTTATTAAGGTAGCGCGACTCAGTGTAGCAAATGACCACAGTCACCATTTCTTGTCATGTGTCTTGCCCATGTATGTCTGATCTCTGAACTGTGTGTACTGAAACTCTTAATTTCCCTCTGGGATTAATAAAGTATCTTTGATTGATTGATTGATTGATTGAAACATTGATTTACATATTTTTAGAGTTACCACACTAGTCCAGATTGGGCCAGTGGAAGCCTCTGTATTGGCCATCTTCACCTGGAAAGACTGCTCTGATGGCAAAGGCTTGCGGATGTGTCGACCAATGATGTCATGTGCCCATCACATCATCTACTTGTAGGCTACATAGCGATACTGCCTGCAATGTAAACATTATCTCTTTTATATATTCGGTTCTATATACATTTACACATATACTGTGTACTATATTATATTTTACTATGCCATTTATGTATATATTTCACTAATGTTGTTTCTCACCCCTACCTTTGATAAAAGTTTCAAAGATGTGCTGGAGCTTTACTCATTTGGTTGATGCATTATTGTAGATAACCTTTGTAATAATGTATGGTTGTGTAAATAAAGCATGGTATTACAACTTCTAAATAAAAATGGAAGAGTTAATAGTGAAGTAACATTGCTAGTTATCCTTGACACAAAATGTATTGTTTGTGTTGAGCTATATACATAACTTTTATGCTCTCATTGTCATGCTTTTATTTTGAATTTATTGAAGTAGTGACGTGACTTCCTGTCTCTGAACGGATTGGTCAGATGTGATTATTTTAACTGTACCCTTGTTTGTGCAGTGACTATGAATAGCTGTGACTGAATCTCAATAAATGCCATTTTTGTTGTGGAGAAGAAGAAAAGATCTTTTCTATAGCGCCTCTCAAGATAAAAATCACAAGGCACTTCACAAAAACAAAAAATGTAAAAATACAAAAAAATAATTTAGAAAATGACAAAACATATATTTAAAATGAGCAAAAAAAATAGACAATTTTGATTAAAAGTGTAAAAAAAAAGAGAGAGAGTGAGTAGGAAAGAGGGAAATCAGTGGATCCTGAGGAAGGTGGAATGGGTAGGGAGAGCAGAACAAGGAGAGGGTAATGAAGGTCACACAAAAGCCAGCCTGAACAAGTGAGTTTTCAGCTGCTTTTTAAAGGAGACCACAGAGTCCACTGATCTCAGGCTCAGGGGAGAGAGTTCCAGAGTCTGGGGGCCACAGCAGCAAATGATCT